GTAAACCCAGTTTAAAATTTGACCTTGTGTCACATTCGATAGAGACATGGGAGCACTTAAAACCCCTTATTAAAAGAGGTGTATACGAGAATGGAAAGCAATACACAAGCAAAAATGACTAATGTTGAATTTGATAAAATAAGAAAGTTAAAAAGAACAATGAATGATTGATTGATGATCACTATCAAAGCCGCTGTAAAAAAATTGGTCATTGCATTTTAATGGTAAACGAATTGATGGCCAATAATATCAAGTGTTTGTTTTGAAGAATGAAAAAAGAGAAGTTTATAACTGCGTTTAGTGGTCTGGTCCTCAGGGTCTTAGAACAACATTTTAACCACAGGGCTAAATCTGCGTTGGTCAATGCTGAAGCTGGTCCAAACTGGTTGTTGGTCGCTGGCCGTTTCGATCTACATCAACTCTGCCATGTTGTGTTCTTGATCTCAGTGCAGCGGAAGACCGGGTGTTGTAGTAATCGCAACGCTGTTTCAAGCCGTGGTGGATGTTACATTAAGGAAGAAATATCTTCACAGCGAAAAAAATTAACGAAAGAATCATGGGTTTAATCTTCAGCTCTTGTTAAAACAAATATTAACCCTTCCTGCATCAATCTCTATAGTGACAGTGTGCCTCGGCAAATAATCTGGGTTCAAAGTTCTTCTGAAGCAGGGAATTTGGTGGCACCTGACGTAGATTCCAGATGCACTTGATGCGGGTTCTCAGCTCAAGTCTTCGAGCTCTCATAGTTATCTGCTTATATGAACTTCAGTCCAAAACTGGCGTGAGACCGAACGGTTCTTAGGATTCCAACTTGCTTCATTTCGAATCTCGGACCACTACTCATCAATTACAGGATATTTTAATAACATCGACACTCACAACGGGCTCGCTCATTGTTTTCATTTCCCAATACGTTTTCATCAACGAAAATATATTTGCCTAAATTGTCAAGGAAGAGATAAAATTATTCTTCAAATCTGTTTTCGTCTGCATGCCAGACTCGCGATAGATAAAAAAATAAACTTTACGTGAGAATAAATCAAGACGATCCTATTTTCACCAAAGATATCTCCACGCTCTCTCTTTTTCTCTCCCTTCCCACTCTCTTTCTCTCTCTCTATCTCTATCTATTTATCTTCCGGCTAAAATTTTATTTTAGGCTTAACCCTTTACGGCTCAGAATCAACATTTAACCACATCATGGCCTCAGTGTCATAAGTTTGAAGCCAAATGAAAAATGCCAAATGAAAAATGGTTACTGTCGTTAAAGGCATAACAATTTTGCCTTGAGATCCGAGCTGAATTTTGAGATATGAGCGAATTTCAGTTAAGCATCCTCTAATTGGCGCAACAAGCGCTATGTGTCGAGAATATTTCCTTTCGTTGTAAACGTGTTCACCTCGCTCTGGAAGGAGCTCTGTTGAGTTGTGTTATGTTCTGTCTTTTTTTTTTTTTCAAAATCGCTTTAGTGACACCATGGATTCGAATAAAGTAAGCAGCGAAAAAAAGTATGAGGAAGACGTACGAATAATTTATTTGGTGATACAGTATGAACGTTCTACATCAACGATAAATAAATAAAAAATTATAAAATTTTAAAAATTAAAAAAAAATAGTTACAGTAATGGATAAAATGTAAGCGTTTTAAAAATTTTTTAAATTAAATGATAAAATTAATCTTCAGTATCTTAGGCTAGCCTAGCCGTGGCTAGGCTAGGCTAGGCTAGCCATTGCTCGGCTCGCTGTTGTTGTCCTTCTCTCTCTATCTCCTCCACTAGTTGTTCTATGACCCATCTGATCTTCGTGAGTCAGTACAGTTTATTTCTTTACAAATTGTTTTTCTCTTTTATTTTATTATTTGTAAACTACATTTCTTGTGTATTCAGACGATTTGCTTACAAGAAACACACAAATACAAAGGGCGAGTTTTAAGAAAATAAGGGTGATTTTTAGGGGCCCAGAACGAATCGGAAATATTCCCATTAATTTCAATGGGTAAAATTGATTTGAGTTACGATTTCGGTATTAGAACGAATTAAACTCATATCTCAAGACATTACTGTATATATATATATATATATATATATATATATATATATATATATATATATATATATATATATATATATATATATATATATATATATATGCGTGTGTGTGTAACAATTCAGATATAAATAAAATATATCTGTAAAAATTATAAATAATAGCCAAAAGGAAACTTGTCTCCTGATAGACTTTATCAAAGTAAAAGAACAGGATTTATTTTAAAAATGTGTTCATAAATAGAGAAACATCGTTAGATTTATAAAGTTTTTAAATTTAAGAACGCCCAACAATATTCTTAAGGTTAGGGAAGCTTAGCGATGTAATTTAGTATCGAAAAAACGAAAGTAAGTAAATGTTATTGTTGTTGCTGATTTTTTTCTCATTTACTTATACATATATTTATTTCTATTTTATTTTTTTTTAATATAATTATTATTTATTATTTTATCTTAATTTGATAAATTATTTATGTAATTATTATTTTAAATAATGGAAGGTTTTGATTTAACTGTTTATTTTTTCTTAATTTTTAAAAAATTTATAGTCATGCTAGTAAAAACTAATGAGAAATAAAAATGAAAACTAAATTGAAATTAGTTAAAATCGAATTTCTAAAACAGTGCATTTAAAGTAAATTTCAGATGCTTAACATGAAGCCTGTTTTGTCTTACTAATTTAGATTAGATACTTGCAAAATAAGATTCTTTTTCTGTTTGCAACGCTTTATCGTGAATGTATAAAGTTTTACAAATATGGTTTATATATTTACTATTCCATCGTATTTTCGTCCAACTTTACTCACAATGTCGACATTGAAAAACACACACACACACACACAATTTAAACTTCATTCTTATTCTGCTGTGGCTATGTAAATGTGATTGCCTGCACATATTTGTATGTATGAGCGTTGCATCGTCATTCGTGATTATTTGAGCATATGACGAAGAGTTTTCGGAAAATGCCATTGCTTCGTTCTCACTTGCAACATGGCGGCAGAGTTCTTTTCCAACTGGAAATGCTGACAGATTAATATTAAGTCAGGTATAAAAAGACCGAAAGAAAACGAACTTGAATAGACGACAAGAAAATCTGTAAGACATGTAGAAAGGGAAAGAGAATTTTGATCAAAGGGTAAAAGTAAGAATCAAAATCTGTCAACGAATGGAAGGAGAGAAAAGAAAGATAAAATCAAATGTAAAAAGAAGGAATTAAATTAAATATTAACTGAATCAAGCACAACAAAAGAATGCGTAAGAAAGAAAGAACAAAAGACGGACATGAGAAAAAAGAAAGAAAAAAGGGACGAAGGAAAGAAGAAGAGAAAAAAAAGAAAAAAACCTTAAAGAAAAAGGAACAACAACAGAATGAACGGATAAGTAGAGAAAACAAATGAAAGGAAACAATTTTAAAGAATAAAAAAGTGAATAAGAAGGAAGAATGGAGAGAAGAAAAATTAAAGAATTTGGAAACAAAAGAAGGAAGCAAGGGAGAAAGAAAAGAAGGAGGAAAAGAGAAAAAGAAGAACATCAATTACAGAAAGCAAAGAAAGAAAAGCTGATAAACAAAAGTGGACAGACAGAAGAAGCAAAGAAAAAGAAGAAAAGAAAGAAAGAAAGAAAGAAAGAAAGAAAGAAAGAAAAAAGAAAACAAGAGGATGTTCGATAAAGGAAATCATTCATGAATGAAAGGGAATAGAAAACGGCTGGAAGAAAGAAAGAACAGAAGAAAGCTGGAAGAAAGAAAAAGAAAGAAAAAAGAGGATGTCTGATAAAGAAAAAGAAAGAAAGGGAATAGAAAAATAGAAAGAACAGAAAGAAAGAAAGAAAAGAAAATAAGGAAAGAAAAGAAAGAAATAAAGAAGGAAAGAAAAGAAAAGAAAGAGGATGTTCGATAAAGGAAATCATTCATGAATGAAAGGGAATAGAAAATAGAGAAGAACAGTCGGCTGGAAAGAAAGAAAGAAAGAAAAGAAAGAAAAAAGAAAGAAAGAAAGAAAGAAAGAAAGAAAGAAAGAAAGGGAAGAGGGAAAGAAAGAAAGGATGTTCGAAAAAAAGAAATCATTCAAGGAATGAAAGGAATAGAAAATAGAGAAGAAAACAGACGGCTGGAAGAAAGAAAGAAAGAAAAAGAAAAAAGAAAAAAGAAAGAAAGAAAGAAAGAAAGAAAGAAAGAAAACAAGAGGATGTTCGATAAAGGAAATCATTCATGAATGAAAGGAATAGAAAAATAAAGAAAAAGAACAGACTGGAAGAAAGAAAGAAAAGAAAAGAAAAGAAAGAAAAAAGAAAGAAAACAAGAGGATGTTCGATAAAGGAAATCATTCATGAATGAAAGGGAATAAAAAATAGAGAAGAACAGACGGCTGGAAGAAAAGAAAGAAAGAAAGAAAGAAAGAAAATGAAAAAAGAAAGAAAGAAAGAAAACAAGAGGATGTTCGATAAAGGAAATCATTCATGAATGGCTGGGAATAGAAAGAAGAGAAGAAAAGAAGAAAGAAAGAAAGAAAAGAAAGAAAAAGAAAAGAAAGAAAGAAAGAAAAGAAAGAAAGAAAAAAGAAAGAAAGAAAGAAAGAAAGAAAAGAAAACAAGAGGATGTTCGATAAAGGAAATCATTCATGAATGAAAGGGAATAGGGAAAACAGACGGCTGAAAGAAAGAAAGAAAAGAAAGAAAGAAAAAGAAAGAAAGAAAAAGAAAGAAAACAAGAGGATGTTCGATAAAGGAAATCATTCATGGAAAGGGAAAGAAAAGAGAAGAGAAGAAAAGAAAGAAAAAAGAAAGAAAGAAAGAAAGAAAGAAAGAAAGAAAAAGAAAGAAAACAAGAGGATGTTCGATAAAGGAATCATTCATGAATGAAAGGGAATAGAAAATAGAGAAGAACAGACGGCTGGAAGAAAAAAGAAAGAAAGAAAGAAAGAAAACAAGAGGATGTTCGATAAAGGAAATCAT